ATATATATATATATATATATATATATATATATAAAGAGATAAAGTTAAAATCCACTATATACTTTTAATTGGAACTTGAATGTATAATTAAAACATAAGGGCCTATTTTTGAATTCCAATAACAAAATAGAACTTTTCTATAAATTTCCCAAAATAGAATAAGAATTGAAAGGCCACGTAAAACAGAATTTAGATGAACAAAAAAACCAAGTGTGAAAAGAAAACAAAAATGATGGAACAAAATGTTTGCCAAAAATTTCTTGTAGAACATTAAAACAAAAAATGCTCATGAAATAACAAAGCCCATATAAATGATTTTCTTTTTTCTTGTATATTGAAACAGATGGTTTTCTGTTTGTTGCAGTTCCTGTTATCATTTTTGCGAAACTCATGTATCCTCTCCTTTTCTTGACACCATTTTTATGAAAGAAATCTAAGCTTCTCTTAATAAACATAATATTGCCCACTTCATCATATATCTGTTTGTGGATCCGGTCCTCTTCCAACTAGCTTTTTACTTTGCATTCAGATTATTTGTTAGAGCTTTCGAACGGTCTTCGTCTACAGTACAATTAGGTAGGTTTGCATTTTCAATGGCGAAACTTTGTTGTATAAACGTTTGCATTTCCATTGGCGTTAACTCTCTTGGTTGGGGTTCGGAGTATTTGTTGGGGCTTTCGAACTGTCTTGCCCTACAGTACAATTAGGTAGGTTTGCATTTCCATTGGCTTAAGGGGTTTCGAGCGGTCTTCCCCTATGGGGTTTTTTAACTGTCATCGCCTACATTTCCATTGGCGTAACTCTGTTTGGCATACATTTCCATTGGCTTAACTCTGTTGTCTAAAGTTTGCATTTCCATTGGCGTAACTCTGTCTTCTAAACGAGAAGAAGTGCCAGTCACTTTCTCCAAAGATTGCTTTAGCTTGCTTTAACTGGAATTATAAGTATTTATACAAAATGAACCTAAAATCAATTACAGGAGAAAAAAAAGATATATTGTTTTTTTATTTTTTTTGTTTTTCACTAGCTTGTTCTTCACTTTTAATGACAAAGCTTAAAGACGATCAGTTTATGCAGAAAAACTATTTTGTTGGGGCTGTATCAAAATGGGTTAACTCAAGAGAAATTGGCATTTATAGGGTAATAAATTGGGGGAATAGTATTGTCTGATGCACATGACTATATGAATTATGTGGTCATAAAGTCATCAACATCCGATCTATAAGTCGACTGGTCATGGAGAAGATATATGCAGTCGTGAGAGTCATCACTGTCCATTCAATGTGTTTGATGGTGATGGAGCATCAACATTCAATCTATAAGTCGCATGGTGATGGAGATGATATATGCAGTCATGAGGCTCATCACTGTCCATTCAATGGGTTTGATGGTGATGGAGAGAGTAGGACCCCAAAAAGCATGACTTGAACACAATCAAATTATAGAAAAATTACATTGACCACAGGAAATATAGCATATGGATGACAATAAGAAGTATATGCAGCAAAGGAATTCAGACTATAAAAGAAAGTATAGTATATGGATTACAGAGAAAATACAGACTACCAAACCCGCCTATTGAATTCATCAAAGCATAAAAGGAAGTTTCTTTTTGCAAGCTAAATTGTATCTCACAATTCTATTTTGATTTTGTTTCTTTTATTTCATCAATTTAACCATGAAAACACCTTGAAGCTCCAAAGGAATGTAAGCAGATACTCATGGACTCAATTCATAATAACCAGAGTTCACTTCAAACCATCAAACTCACACATTAAAATTTAAAATATAAAAATAAATAATAAAAATTCATAACAACATAAAAGGAAGCTCTTTTTGCAAGCTAAATTGTTTTTCATGATAATTTTGATTTATTTTCATCAAATTACTAAAAACAATATTAATTGTAACGGACCTTGAAGCTCCATCGGATCCACTCTTAAACATTACCTTGAGCAGTTATATCTGCAAGAAGGAGGTAGGAATGTGAAGAGAGTGGAAGCACAATTCCTCATGTGTCGGACCAAATCGATAACCCATTGGAAGGTGCTGCGGCGGTGGAGTGATTTGCTACCCCATAGCTATTGATTCAATGCTGCAATTAAAAATAAAAATTTTCAAGTTTTAGGAAAAAATTAATTGAAAAAAACTGGACTTTATCGGAAGAAAAGTCACCGTCTTTTCACTATTTTAAGCTTGTATAGGTTCTTTCAATTTATCAAGCATCAGCTGATGGAAATTCTGTTGTTCTCTTTTCCTATCATCCCTTTCTTTAACAAAAATAGAGGGTTTTTTTTTTTAATACAAAAATACAGATTTCCTATTAATATTTGTGCACAAGTTCTGTTTTAGGCTAAGTTATTGGATATGTACTAAATGT